GTACCTGCTCCACGAGTGGTAACTTTAATGCACTACTACGCTTCTCACGCGCTCAAAGTGTTTCTGAAAACTACTGATTTAGTAGTTTTCGATGACGCTGAGCAAGTTTCTAATTGGAACCATATGTCTATTTTCATTAATTAAAAAGTTAATTAACAAATTCTAATTAATTAGCCGACTGATCGTTACAATTAGCCCCCTATACACGAACTCATCTCTGTTACGTCACGGCGCGGTGGTGGCGCGTCGGTCGCACTTTCAATCTGGAGCGCCAGACGTGTATTCCTGCGTTGTTTTGAAAGGAACGAGACAAAAACTTGCCTTCTCGTCAAAACGCCGCGACTAGGGCCGTACCAAAAGTGTCGAGAAAGGTTTGAAGGTCAGTTTTCACGTGCTCAGTTCGTCCGAGAATGTGGATGTGTGCCATGAAAAGGGAAAAGCAGACGCCGTCGAACAACGATTGCTTGGGCGAGAAGCACTTTGGGTTGAATTCACGGATACTTGTGGTCATCAGATTTATTTTTGTTCCAACATGAACGCCAGAAAGCCATCAAGTTGTGCGGACTACCTGCGGACTACGTTCAGTGCGTCTTTAAGTTCAAACGGTTACCTGACCGTTCGAATTGTCGTCTGCTCTTTCAAACGTTTCTGCTTGTCGTCTGCTCTCTAGACGACGCCGGCCCGTAGACCAAATCTTTGCCCGGTACTTGCGCAAAGAAGTAAGTGCACGCCTCAAAAGACTTAAATTTGAAGGTTGGTAAGCAGGCTCGATGTAAACAGCAAATACAAGGAGATGTTGATCATTATTACCAATGACCATCACCGACTTCATAGGCCTGATTCGGATGGTCTGATTCTGCTTTAGATTTTCAGTATCGACGTCGACCATCTCAGCTACGGTTCACTCTTTTGCTGCCCGAGCGACGTTGCGACTGAAAATTGCGAGCGAAATCTCATCGTGCGAATCAGGCTTTAGCGTACATTTTGCGGCGTCCACGCGGAATGAATCACCGCATGTCACATTATTTACGTGAAGTTTTGCGGTGTAACGAGCCTTGTTAATTTTGCTTAGGCCGCACAAGTAGTCAGACATTGCCAGGAAGACGTAGCATCAACAATTCGAACGCAAAAAAGGGCAGGGCGACTCACACAGATGCCGATAACATCGCATTTCAATGGTTTGTTTATGGGCGACGGCGAGCTTCTTGCCCACACCCCCATCGCGCATGCGCGGCGCCGATGGCGTCCACTAGGAGCGCTCCGGTTTGTTTGTAAACATGAGTTGGTGTATAATATGTCCCCCTGGCCGTATAACTCACCTCTACAAGCGGCATAAGTGTAACTTTCACGGTTTTTTTAAAACAAATCTGCTAAGCTTACAAAAACACCCTGTATATACATACAGGGTGCTCTACGAAAGGTGGACAGATTCGATAGTGCGAAAACTACGCGTCGCAACAAAAAAAAAAAAGGCTTGTGTCGTTTTAGTCTTCGGTCAGGGGCCTATTTAAAAAAACTTAAGAAAGTTCAAGATAATTAAGTTGTTAATTATTTTTGCGTAATCAACTTTTTTAATAGTGTGTTTAAGGGCATGGTTTCAATTAGAAAATTGCTCAGCGTCATCGAAAAACACCAAATCAACAAATTACAGAACGATAGAAGGCACGTGCAGCATTCTACGGCTTTCTGAATAACCGCACAAATCCGACGGGTTTTTAAGTTTCGGTTTGCGATCAGAGCGCATCTCGGCCCCGGCGGCGCCGCGCCTTGTGGAGAAATAGTGCAACCAGCCTCTGCTGCGCCGCGCGACGCAGTAGAGGCTGGTTGCACTATTTCTCCACGGGGCGCGGCACCGTCGGGGCCGAGATGTGCTCCGATAACAAACCGAAACTTCAAAAGCCGTCGGATTTGTGCGGTTATTCAGAAAGCCGTAGAATGCTGCGCGTGTCTTCTATCGTTCTGCAGTTTGTTGATGTAGTGTTTTCCGAGGATGCTGAGCAATTTTCTACATGAAACCATGCCCTTAAAGACAATATTAAAAAAGTTAATCACGCAAAAATAATTAACAGCTTAATTATCCCGGACTTCAATAATTTTCCTATTTGGGCCCCTGGCCCAGGACCAAAACGGTACAAGCCTCTTTTCAATGCGACCCGTAGTTTTCGCAATATCGAATTTGTCCACCTTTCGTGAAACACCCTATCTATATATATATATATATATATATATATATATATATATATATATATATATATATATATATATATATAGGCGAGAATTGGTTGTCTACTTTTTGGATGGGCAAGATTTGCTGCTCCTGCCCTTTTCGGTCAAGGGCTGGTTCATCAAGATGGCAGAACACTGATCTCTACTAGAGGGGGCTGAATGGCGCTTACCTGTTCTCCGAGCCTGGCGCACAGGAAGCCACCGGAAGTTCGATGCTTGTCACGAAAATCGGGCTTGCGCTAAGATTTGTAGTGCATTCAGTCGATATTTTGGTCCAAGCTTTTTTGTGTCTTTGATTAGATTTTTATACTCCCGTTCTGGATTAAATCCCGAGAATCAGGCATTTGAACGTGGGACATACGCACACACTCTTAAAAAAAAAAAGAGTAGTACTTCGTCGTTTTTGGGGACTAAGTTGATATCACTGAGAGTGATCCCCTAAAAACGGCAAAACCCCGGTTTAGCCCCTCCCTTTTCTTTTAGTCCCTTTCCATTGATCCCGTGAGGTCAAAGTTTTGGACCGTTAAAAGGAGCGCTTTTGATCCCTACAGCAGGGCATCAGGGACTAAGTTTAACTCTTCAGGGGATTCATTATGGTCCCTTGAGCGCCGACGTGTTTATAATTGGGGGAATAACTTTAATCCCTTTCGGGATCAACAGCGATGATTGGGGGACTAACTTTTTTTTGATTGGTGACTAAATTTCGTTCCTTTGGGGATTAATTTTACCACTTAAAGGGATGATATTTATAGTGACGGGGGAGTAACTTTCGTCCCTTTGAGGATCACTTTTGACCCTTTTAGGGATTAATTTTATAGTAATGAGAGATTGATTTTCGTCCTTTTGTGGACGAATTTTGACTTTTAGAGCCGAAATTACTAGTAATGAGACCCTTCAGCTGTGATTTGCGGCATTGAACAGCTTCCTATTCAGAAAAGGCAGTTTGTGCAACTTGTTTGAAAAGGTATGTCTTCTGAAAAGTTGCAGAACGCCTCTTTTCAGAGCAGGGAGGTATTCAATACCGCAGACCTTTCACTTTAATTCAAAGCAAAATATTGCAGTACACATGAAAAGTCGCACACCTTTATTTGGAAAAAGCAAGCCTTTGTCGTTAAAGAAGCTGCGAAGACTGGATATGCGGACAACACTCGTAGAACTTTCAGGCAGGCTTTAACAGCTAACATCACCATTTTACGAAACACGTTGCACCAGCTATCTGTAGAAAAAAAACTAGCACTTTCATTGTGGAAATATATTTATCCTAGAACTACACAACACTGTAAATGAAAACAAGTGCACATCACAAGAAAGTATACAAGAAAATACTGCCATCTTGGCACTCAAGAACTTGCCGAAATTTTACATGACTAGCATATATATGAAATCTACAATGGTTCTTAGTGCTGTGGAACGAGCCCGAAAAATTGGTGCCTGCAGATTAAAAGTTAAAGCATTAACTGAATGTGCATGTTACATGTTGAAATTGTAAGGAATTTCGCCTCCTTCCTGTGAAAAATTAGACCAACTTGCCAGGGCCTGCGGTGGACATGCTTGCAGCGTTAGCAATGCTTGTAAACTGCGACGTCATTTTGTTCTAAGCACAGGAAGCAGAAGGCGATCTCATCTGCTCGTTGTGCCTACTGGGAGTTACAACCATCGCTAACTCTATTCGATAATTTAGATCACTCCGGTTTACAAAAGAGATTTATACAACATATTTACAGTCTAGACATATGGAGGGCTCTTGAAGGTTGATGTTGCATCGATCAACGGTTCCAACTAGCTCTGCTCGCGCCGGTAGCCTCACTTCATCTTCTTCTTAGCACATGCTCCTTGGTCTTCTTTTCCTGTGAGATGTGTAGTCGGGCGCGTATCCACATTTAGCGAAAAATGTCCTCAATATTTAATATCCTCCCCGCCGAATGAGCATTGCTCATTCGTTATGAGCTTCCAGTTGATGTAACAGTTGAATGGGACGTCTAATCGTTGTTCCTCCTGACAAACGGACCACGCAGGATCGGACGTGGCCGTCTCGTCCCGGGAACACTTGCACGACGCGGCCAGTTTTCCAGGTTTGTCGCGGATGGAAGTCGTCATGCAGTAGCACCAAGTCATTCACCCGTATTTTTACTCGAGGCTGCCGGTGTGCTGTGATGAAATGACCTTAAGGCACAGAGATATTCCTGGCGCCAGCGCTTCCATAGGGTGGTCGATAGCGTCTCACGGTACTTCCAACGGCGAGTTAGATCGTTGGCTGATGACAACATTGGCTCTCCTCCACGAGTTGGCAAGGAAGTCAGTCGTTTACCGACAAGGAAATATGCGGGTGTCAATGGTTCTGGTTCGTTCGGCTCAGAGGAGATGGAGGTCAAAGGTCGAGAATTAATCACAGCCTCTATCTCCGTCAATATGGTGCTCAGCTCTTCATAAGTTACGTAACTGCACCCCAGAACCTTTTTCAGAGGGGTCTTAACTGATCGAACCATTTGCTCCCAAAACCCGCCCCACCAAGCCGCTCGTGGAGCGATGAATTTCCAATTGATGCCTTGACTGAACAGGTAGTTGAGTGACTCCTGTTCTCTCATTGTTTTCCATATCTTTCTGAATTCAGCACACGCTCGGTGGAAAGTCTGTGCATTATCAGAGTAGATCGTGTGGCATAGTCCGCGACGGGCCGCAAAGCGACGAAATGCCAAAAGGAAACTAGCTGTAGACAAGTCGCTCACCACCTCCAGATGTATTGCTCTAGTGACTGCGCAGGTCAGTAGCAGAATGTATGATTTCTTTATCTTGCCTTCGTCCTTGGTGAGGACAGGTCCGACGAAGTCGAGCCCCGTGACTGCAAAAGGGTCCGCCTCCAACACTCGGTCTCGTGGAAGCGGCGCGACTGGTTCAGTCGCACTCTTGCTGCTCATCCTTCTGCAGACAAGACAACGGCTCAAGGCCTTCTTAACTACTTGTGGAGCTCGTATAATCCAGAACGTCTCACGCAGCTGAGTTAGAGTGTCCATGCACCCTGCATGTAGCAGCCGTCGATGTGTGCTAAAAATCAGTAGTTCCACAAAGTGGTGAGTCGAAGGCAAAACGACAGGATGTGCCGTCTCATAACCGAGGTCTGAATGTTGTAGGCGTCCTCTCAGTCGTAGCGGCCCTCTGTCATCTATAAATACATTTAAAGTGCGCAGGTCTGACGAGCCACTGCACTGTTCGCCTCGTTCTAGTTGGTTTAGTTCATCCTCAAAGGCTTCCCTTTGAACTTGAAGGAACAGCCTAAGACGTGCCTCCCTTATCTCTTCAGGTTTGAGTGGACCCTGGAAATTCTCTTTCGTGTGTCTACAATTATTGACAAAACGTAGCACCCAAGCAGTGACCCGTTGTAGGCGATTCAATTCTCCAAACTTTCCGATGTTTACCACAGGCGTACCGGAGCTCGTAGCAGTGTGGCTCACAGTTAGTTCTGAAGTTCTTATTTCTTCTTGGCTGCGGTATCTTGGCTACCAATGGGCATAGTAGGCCAACATGTGGGTGACTCTGCCAGCCACTTTGGTCCTTTCCACCATAGGTCACACTTCTGTAGACAGTCCGGAGGGACGCCCCTGGTTAGTAAATCCGCCGGGTTCTCAGCTCCAGGGCAGTGTCTCCAGTTACTGGGATCTGTCCTTTGTTGAATCTCCATAACTCGGTTTGCCACGAATGGTTTCCATTGAATAGCCAGGCCCTTTACCCAGTGTAGAGCAATCATTGAGTCTGTCCACAGCGTCACTTCTGAGAGATCCGACTTAAAAACTCCCTCAAAGTAGGCACATAGTCGAGCGCCCAGCAACGCTCCCATCAGTTCCAGTCTCGGTAGAGTCAAGGTCTTTACTGGCGCAACGCGCGTCTTGGCCATAACGAGGGTCACTGTCGTCTGGTTATCACAGTCACTACGCAAATACGCGACTGTCCCATAGGCCTGGGGGCTAGCGTCCGTAAAGACATGCAGCTCAGTTCGACCGCCGTATGCCGCATAGCGACGAGGGATCGAAATGTCCTCGAGATGATGCAGAGCTTTTATCCAGTTGCTCCATCTCAGACTTACGCTTGCAGGTAGCGGAGTGTCCCAGTCCAGCCCAAGTGCCCAAAGTTCTTGAAATAACATCTTGGCTGTTATCGTCACTGGGCTGAGGAGGCCGAGCGGGTCGAAAATTCTCGCTGATGCTTGCAGTACAAAGCGTTTTGTGTCACGGTTGATTGTCAGAAGCTCCAACGTGCTTTCTAAAGAGTATTTAAGCTCGTCCCTCTCTCTATTCCACTTAAGTCCCAAAACACGCGTCACACCTGACCTCGGTGTGGGAGTATCACAGGAGAGGCTTCCAACCCCATCTTCGTCAAATCGTTGTTGCAATGACTCGCTGTTGGAACTCCACTTCCCGAGCTTCATTCCTGCTGCGCTCAATATTTGCTGGGCTTCCTTGTAGAAGTTTGTTGCTTCTTCAAGCGTTTCAGTGCCAGCAATCAAGTCGTCCACGTAAAGGCATTCGTCCAGTACTTTTGCAGTCTCAGACAAGTCGTCTGAGACGTTGTCCAGGTGGTGCTTGATAGTCGCTGCCAGCATGAAAGGGCTGCTCGTTGCACTAAATGGGACGCGCGTCATGCGCCATGCTTCAATCTCCGAACTTGTGAAGTCTTCTGTCGGGGAACGTGCGTACCACAAAAAGCGAAGGGCATCACGATCCTCCTGCTTGATCAGAATCTGTAAGAAGGCCTTCTCAATATCTGCGGTGAAGGCAATCGCAGGACGTCGGAAGTTGATGATCAGCTGTAACATGTCCGGACTGAGGCTTGGGCCCGTAGACAATGCATCGTTGAGGGACAGACAGCCCGGTGCCTTTGCAGACGCATCAAACACGATGCGTATATTAGTCGTAGAACTGTCAGATCTAAAAACAGCACGATGAGGCAAGTAGTAAACTCGTTTCCAAGTGGTATCCACCTCGCCTGCTGGCACTTTTTCAGCAAAACCTTCTTTCAGGTAGCTACGGATCGCTGAGTCGTACTGCGTCAGTCTTTCGGTGTTGCCTTTTAAACGCCGAACCAACTTCTCTAGACGCTGTAGCGCAACGGCTTCGTTGTTCTCTAGGGGTCGATTTAGGGGCTTCCACGGGAGGTTTGCCTCATAACGGCCCATGACCAGAGCTAGGGAGGAAGTGAAATCTTCTCTTACTTGTTCTTCCTCTTTTCCGCGCGGAGAGTCGTTCACGGAGATTCCGAGGCTCTCCAACTCCCAGAAGGCTCGAAGTTCGTTTGAGAGGCTCAAGGTCGGTTTTGCGACGCCGGTGTTCAAGACGGCCACAGTAGTGCAGGACAGCACAGAAGAAACCTGAGGAACTGGGCCCTGCAGTGTCCAGCCAAAGTCCGTTTTCAGCACGACCAAGGATCCGTGTATCTTGCGGACTTCCCCGCTCACCATATTCCAATAGTGATCTGCCCCCACTAGGATTTCAATGCTCCGCTTGGAATTAAGGAAGGGTGAAAGGGTTACATCGGCTAATTCTAGCTCTCCCACGCCAGCAAGGTCAACCACGTTGCCGGGAAGCACCAACTGGTCAGAACAGATGTTTTCTATTTCAAGGGCTTCCAAGCAGTGTTCTTTGCGGCTGTATTGGCTTCGCAACCAAAGTCGCACTAGCCGACGTTTTCTCGTAGTTCCACCGGCTGTTCTGCCAAACGAATAGATGGTCACCTCCTCCTCGCCGATCACTTCCAACCTCAGCTCTCGTGAGAGCTGCTCGGTGACGAACGAACGTTGGCTGCCTCCGTCAAACAGACAGCGAGCAAGACGCTTCCGGTCTCGTCCGTCTACCCATACTTGAGCCGTTTGTAGCATTACGGCGTTCTTGTTGATGGCATTCAAAGACGCCAGGGAGTGGAGCTCGGTAGTGTCGGTCGCTCCTTGATAAGACGGAGGTGAGGTACCACAAAGTGGAGTGATATGGCGTCGGCCACATTTGTCGCAGCGAAGGAACCGATTTCGACATTCTTTTGAGGTGTGTCCTCACTTCGCGCATCTGTAACACCTCCCTTCGCTCCTTAGCCGTCTCTTCTTTTCTTCGATCGGAATCGCAGAGTTACATTGCGGCGCTTCATGTAATTCGGAGGAACAAAGAGGGCACCCGTCGTTTGAGGGTTTGGCACCAACTGCGAGGGAAGCAGCAGACCCCTTTCCTCGGAGGTTGTCGCTTGATCGATCTCTGTCGCTGTGTATTTTCAGAGGTTGCGGTTGGTCCCGTGTACTGCCGTCGTGTATCTTCTCTCTGCTATCCAGCTCTACACGCATTGATAAATAAATAAATAAATAAATAAATGTTTATTTCTCCATCACATTACATGATGGAAGGAGACAGAGGAAAAAAGCTGCGCAAATGCAGCTTGACGAGTCCTCGTCCCCCTCCCTACAATCAGCAGCAGCGGCAACTCACAAAAAACAAATAGTAAAAAATAAAAAAAAATAAAAACAATAATAAAATACAAGCTCAGTTCACCGAATCATCTCAGTGACATGCAGAATGTAACAAGTTTCACTCTAACAGTTCAATAAAAAGTCATGACTATCGCATCAAAAACATACATATTCAGAGATATCAAAGCATGATTAAGCACTGTTATATAAGTTATGATAAATTATGAGCTTATGGCGAACAGACATAATAACTATACACACGTCAGGGCACTAGAACATTGCTCGATCGAAGTCATCAAATTACACGCTTAAAAAAGGATTGGATTTTTTTCGGTGTTGATGTTAGGGGTTCCATATTTTGAGTATTCAGATAATTAAGTAGGTTGGGTAATATATTCGATAACATCTGCTCACCGTAAGTAGTTCTACAATTTGGCACTTTCCAGTTGTCTGTGTTGCGAGTTGAATATATTGGGTATCTCCTCGTAAGAGACGCTAGGTTGACAAGATGACATATATTGTTCATGACTTCGGACTTGTACCTTAGGCATAAACGGTAATTATATAAACTATACACATTCATTATATTCAAACTTTCGAAAAGAGATCTGCTAGGGTGATCATATGAAACATTACTTATAATCCGTGCTATTTTTTTCTGGAGCACAAGTATCTTATTTAAATTTACATTGGTAGTATTTCCCCAGACAAGATGACAGTAGTGCACATGCGAGAGAAATAAAGAGTTGTAGATGATTAATTTAACACTTGCTGGTAGAATGGAGCGATGACGGCATAATATGCCAACAACCCGTGACAACTTTATCAAAATGTGATTTACATGGTCATCCCACGTCATTCGTTCCGTGAATATAATACCAAGCGTTTTGAAGCGAGTCAAAACCTCAATTGTGGTCGTATCCAACACGATATCTGTTGGGATAGAGGCATTTTTATTTTTTGGTTGAAACAAAACAGCCTTGGTTTTGTTCACGTTTATTTTTAGCGCGTTAGAGTTACTCCAGCTACCCAGCTTATGTAGAGTTTGATTAGCTCTATTTCCTAGCTCAAGACAGCAGTCTCCTTTAAAAAATAGACTTG